AGACTATTTTTAAAAAGCATATCAGTTTTCCAGTTTTACATATTCATCAATACTTGATTTTATCAAATCTTTTAATCTTTGCTAATATTGGCAGTGTGTAATGGTATCTAGTTGTAGTTTTAATTTGCACATCTCCGATCACTGATGAAGATGTTTTAAAATATAGTGTGTTAATAGGAAATTTGAGATATAGTAAGGCCAACAGATCAGGAGAAGACTGCCATTGAAGAGACAGTTTGTTACTCACAGTTCCCCAGGGAAGGGGGCATGACACATTATGGAAGCCACATGCGGAAGCAGCAGAGTCTGTCAGGAGGCAGAGGGATAGTGGGGAACTTATTGTGCTCTCCACAAGAAGGAATAGATGAGGCAGGGTAAGCAAGTTTAGGATTGGCTAGTTTGAATAATGTCAGCAGGCTCTGGGGCATGGGGGCTGTCCCAAGTTTTCTGGCATTGTCCCTGGGGTCAGGAGAACAGAGCCCCATAGGGGAGGTGGTTGCAGTGTTGGCTCTGAATTGGTTGATTTGTATTTGAAACACATGCTTGTAGGGGAGTTGTTTACTATCTCTAGGAATTGGCTAACATTGGAGGGACAGTCCCCCCTAGGGTCAACAAGGTCTCAGATGTCAAAATACTAAAACTGAAAGACATGGTTAATACAGTACACACTATTGTATGTTTAGATATCTTCTTTTGTGAAATTCCTATCAAGTCTTGCCCATTTTTCTATTGAGTTCTCTGGGCTCTTTCTGCTTGGTCTACTTTGGTTGGGTTGGGTATATGCTTTGCAAATATCTTCACCTGCTCTGTCGCTTGTCTTTTCATTTGCTTATTATGTCTTTTTGCTAAACAGAAGATCTTAATTTTAAAGTAAATTTATCAATCTTTTCCTTTTCTTTCATGGTGATTTCACTTTGTGCCTCCTTTACGAAATCCTTCTGTGACCTGAGATAATGAAGATAATGCTCCCATATTCTTTTATTTTAGTAAGAATACTTAACATGAGACCTACCCACTTAAATTTTTAAATGTATGATGCATTATTGTTGACTGTAGGTACAGTGTTGAACACCGGATTTCTAGAGCTTATTCATCTTGCTTGACTGAAACTTTATTCCTGTTGATTACTAACTCCCCATTTCCCCCTCCCCTCACCCCCTGGCAACCACTATTCCACCCTTTAATTCTATGAATTTGACTATTTTAGATATGTAATATAGATGGAGTCATGCAGTATTCATCCTTCTGTGACTGGCTTATTTCACTTAGCAAAATGTCCTCCATGTTTATCCATGTCATCACATGTTGCAGAACTTCTTTCTTTTTTAAGGCTGAATAGTATTCCATTGTATGTATATATCACATTTTCTTTATCCATCTATCTGTCCATGGGCATTTAAGTTGTTTCCACATCTTGGCTATTGTGAAAAGTGCAGCAGTGAACATAGGAGTGTTAATATCTCTTTGAGATCCTGACATCAGTTCTTTTGGATAAATTCCCAAAAGTAGGACTGCTGGATCATATGGTAGTTCTATTTTTACATATTTCTACAGTTTTATGAAGAACCTCCATACTGTCTTCCATATCTTCACATTTTGCATTCCCACCAACAGTGTGCAAGGGTTCCAATTTCCCCACATCCTTGGTAACACTTGTTATCTTTTTGTTTTCTGTGTTTTTATAAAAAANATGACATATGTTAGCTGTGGAAATTATGCTTTTGTATTTTCTACTTTCTAGACTATCTTATTTCCAAAAAAGGGCAAAGGAGCATGTCTTGTGGTATCTCAGTTTCTTTGTGTCTGTCATCATCTCACAAAGGAAGTTGAGTCTCCTTTTTCTCCTTCCATTTGTCATCTGTTCACTTCGATTTTACATTTCCTTTCAAGATTGACATTCTATACACTGAAAGATAACATCTCTAAACTCTCCCTAGAACAGCAACTGGCCTGTGTGTTAGAGGCACAGCAATAAAGAACTGACTTGAGTCACTTGTGATTATATTTCACAAATATCCATTGGATTGAATTTAGAAATTAGTATTAGACAACTGGAAATCTCCCCCAGGCCTGCCAGGCTTAAATAGAATAAGAGAATTAAGGATTCTTTCTCCCTTCTCTTGCATTTAAAATGTCTTTTGTGACACCAGTTGTCACCTAGTGTTGGTAGTCTTACCCAAAAACATGATATAAAGCCTGGAGTTGTTATTTGCTTCCTTTCATTAGTTACAAAGAAAATGTGCTTTGTTTTCTTCTGGGCTCTCCTCAGGATTTATAGGAAAAAACTGAAATCTGACATATCTTTGAGTGGTGGGAGCACTATTTTAAAGACATCCATAAAGCTTCATGGAAGTTATTACTGTCTCTCCCAACTTTACTTGAGCAGTAGGTAGAGCTTGACCATAGTATTTACCAATGAAACTCGTTTACTTGATCCTAGTCTCCGTTGTAGTGGATATTATATTAAACTCCCTCATGACTTTGAAAACCACCACTTAATTAAGCAAATAGGACTTATATTCCCCTCTTAGTTTCCACCTAGTTGAAAGCCATGGTCATGTTACTTGTTTTGGAGTTTGCTGAGCCAACTTAAAGAGGGATGGAATATCATTTTACCTTAATAATAAAAACTAAATAAAATATTTTAGATCCCTATTTTCAGAATATGAAGTATCTTATTAAACATCTATTTTCACTTTCCCCTTGTTCTTTTATAACTCCTTTCTTGCTTCCTTTCATAGTCTTTCACAGTACAGCGATGAGAACATGATGGACCCTTATAACCTGGCCATTTGCTTTGGCCCAACATTGATGCCTGTCCCAGAAATACAGGATCAAGTGTCTTGCCAGGCTCATGTGAATGAAATTGTCAAAACCATCATCATCCACCATGAAACTATTTTCCCAGATGCTAAAGAGCTGGATGGCCCAGTTTATGAGAAATGTATGGCTGGAGATGACTACTGGTAGGTCCAAGAATTTTAGTCCTCTTATCCCCGCCTGCTTCCACCCAAAACTACAGAATTGTACCTATCAACTCAGTTAGGAAAAAGAATTTCCCATAAGTCATATATGTTTTAAGCCTAGTGTCAAAGTCAGATTTAGCATTTCCAAATATGAGAGCTTTATCCGTAAGCTCTGCTGTCTTGTTCATCTTATCAAAGAGCAAGTATGTAGATGTCTGGTCAATTTTATTTGATGTGTTGTATTCCAGGACATCTGTGGCCTCTACTTTTTCCAAACAGGAAAAATAAGAGTCTGGCATCCAGTAACACGTGCTTGAGTATGTCCGTCTTCTTATATAGTGTTTTCTGTGGGTATTGCTCATTTTATAGCAATAATACAGTAGTTATCCTTATCCCCCAACAGCAGCAGTATAAGTGGGTTTTTACGGTAACGTCAGGTTTGTATTTGTGACCAGTGCGTTCCATTTATCAGCGCACATTTGAGGAGAGTTGGCAGTACAGTTAAAGAATAAGTTTTAAAAGAAGATGAAATCATGATTCTTATACAGATAAAATGAACACGTGTGAGTAAAAGATGGAAAAGATGCTACAACCAGTTCAAAGGAGAAGTCAAAGAACCATCATTTTATATATAGAAAAAGGAATGGTAAAATGAATTTGCAAAAACTGGTCTATCCATAGAGCAATAATCAATCATACTCTACCAGAATTCAACTGATTTGCATTTCCGTGGATAAGTATTATTTGTAATGCTATCAGTTTTGTACAAGTTAACTTCTGTCTTCGTAGAGTTGTCAGATCACCTAGTCCAAGATGAACGCACATATATACACTCTCGTAAGGCCAGACCATCAGTGGAGGCTCCAGCGTTCCACTGACAGTCTATTCAGGAACTCTTGCCATTCCAACGTCTCATTTTTCCTTACAGTAGCAATTGTTCATTTAAAAAATTCTCTCCAATTTGGTTTGATGTGAATTTTCATTTCCATTCCACAGTGACAGCCCCTACAGTGAGCATGGCACACTGGAGGAAGTGGACCAGGACGCTGGTACAGAGCCCCACACCAGCGAAGACGGTACACGCCGTGCTTGTGCTATTATAAAACCAGCCTTTATATCCTTTCTTTTTGACAATTGCTCATATTAAAAACTCAGTAGATACAAAAGAATTTTTATAAAATATGTGTAAGGTACAAAGAATAATATTACAATGAATACCCATGGCACCACCACCAAGTTTAAGGAAAAAGACCATATTATTACCTTTGCATTTCTCTGATCCCATTGCCTTACTTCTTCCCTTAATGTTAACCACAATATGTTTGTGTTTTTAAACAGCTTTTTGTTTCTTTTTCTATTTTCTTGAAATTTCTATAAATGGAATCGTACTGTATATATTTTTCGGGAGTTTTTTCTACTCAATATTATATTCTTGAGATTCATCCATGTAGTAGCAGTCAGTTATAATTGTCTATTCTACCCTAGCATAATATTCCACTGTATATCTATCTGTTCTTTTCTTGATGAATATGTGTGGTATTTTCTATTTTTTTGCCATTAAGAAAAGTGCCACTGTGCACATTTTGAACATGGCTTCTACTGCAAATGTACAGGAGTTTCTCTAAGATATATGAGAGTACTTCAAAAATTCATGGAAAAAATATGAATCTTTCCATGAACTTTTTGAAGACCCCTCATACACCTAGGAGTAATCATGTCTTCAGTGTTCTAAAGTACTGCCAGACTATTTTTAAAAAGCATATCAGTTTTCCAGTTTTACATATTCATCAATACTTGATTTTATCAAATCTTTTAATCTTTGCTAATATTGGCAGTGTGTAATGGTATCTAGTTGTAGTTTTAATTTGCACATCTCCGATCACTGATGAAGATGTTTTAAAATATAGTGTGTTAATAGGAAATTTGAGATATAGTAATGATGCCTGTCCCAGAAATACAGGATCAAGTGTCTTGCA